ATATGTAAAATGAGGGGATTGGACTAAAAGACCTCTAAGGTCCTTTCCAAGTCTCTAAAGCAGCCAACCTAAATTTACATAACATGAATTTGGGAACAATAGTAGGGACCTTGATAACTACTAACATTTTAATTAATTGAAACATGTTAATCTTACATTAAAATTTGATTTATCAGGTTACTTTAAATATATTATTATGTCAGAGCAATTGTCCAATTTGAAGGTATACTTTTATTTTATTATTTTTAATTTGTGGAATAAACAATAGTATAATAAAAAAGATGATTGTATATAAAACTGCAAATCGATCACATATAACTTTCTCTTTCTTTAAATGAATAATAAAGTTATCATGTAAATTTTTTTCTTTCTTCCCCCTCTCCCCTTCTCTAGAGATGGCTACCATTAGATACAAATGTGTATATATATGTAAAATCATTCTATACACACTTCTTTTTATCATTCTTTCTCTGGATGCAGATAGTGTCTTCCTTCATATGTCCTTTGTAGTTAGGTCTATTTTTTATCAACTGATATGTATATTTGAAGGTGGTTAAAATATGGGGTCTCATTGTAGTTTTAGCCTCTACAGTGAACCTCAAGCCCACTTACCCTGTGCTTTTATATAGTAATTAAGGCTATAATTTAAACTCATATCATTTTAGTCCCATGCTTAAGGATTCAAACCTTGGGTTCATGACTCCAAATGCTTTTTGTAATATACTATACTCATACTAGGTGGGTGCAGGCTCAAATGTATCCCAATTTACCAGTCAATCAATAAACATTTAGTAAGCACCTACTACATCCTTACTTTGCTAAGTGCTGTGGAAAAAAGAAACAGTCTCTGCCCTCAATGAGTTTGCAGTCTAATGGGGAAAGACACCACACAGAAGGAGCTGAAAAGCAGAAATCAGGGCAGAACCAGGGCATAGGGGAAAAGTCAGATAAGTCCCAAAGTAGTGCAGCCAGACTGAAATGAGATATTCTGAGCTGAGATCCCTCCCTAAATGGAGCTTTTGTACTTCTTGGCTCCACCCTCCAATCAAAAGAACAGAAGGTGGGGTCTTAATGCTGATGGGAATGATGAGCTTCCTGGGGCGTGGTGGAAAAGTCAAAGAAGTCCCAGAAAAATAAAACTGCTTTAGGGATCTAGGGAATGCTAATGAGGAAGTAAACAAATTCGCACATATGTTGTATAGAAAAGGCCACCATACAATGTGAGTGTACTAAACTACCCATTATGGCAGAGAAGGAAAATGGAAACAAGGGTCTAAGTACCTGGGGGGGAGGGGGAGGCAGTCACTCTGATGTTAAAACCAGAAATGTTTTCTCACCAGCTGCCAGCTGAATGAGAGCTGCTATATACCATTCTCAGAGACTCCTCGGCTGCTAGTGATCTGGAGACAGCAGCTGCCTTTGTCAGTTTTCTTTCAGTATCACTAGATACTTGTAGTAATGCTAGAAAATTGTGCAGCTGCCATACTTGTACTAGACTTTGCACAATACAAGGATAATTCCATGCCTGTGCTGTTTTGGGTCCTTAAATATCTTGCTCTGGATCAGCTCAGCCTGGCCCTTGTGATCTTGGAAAATGAAGGACCTAGGGAATTGGAGTAGGGAGGGCCTAGTCTGAGTCTATTTGTAGGTAGCAAGAAAGACCAGGGAACTGGTCTTAGCTAATGAAATTGGTCAGGGAATTGGCTGCTCATGAGAACTAAATTAACTAGGCTCTTACATGAAAGTAAGTTTTGAGGTCTCCCTGTCTATGCAATCAAAGGAAGATACCTGTAGAAATTTTTCCCCCCTCCTTTCTTCCAGAAAGCTGCTGAGCCCCCTGGGTTTTTTTTTTTTTACTACTTCTTCCCTCCCTTCTATCCCCCCTTCCTTTTCTTTCTTCTTTTCCCTCCTACTGCCTATAGGGCAAATTAGATTTCTATACCTCACGGATTATGTTATTCCATTGTTGAGCCAAATCTGATGACAGTAAGGTTCAAACAATGCTCATCTCCTCCCCCCCTTCTTTCCCTCTGCTGGAATAGGTTTTTGTGACTTTTCCTGTAATGTAATTTACCCTTACCTGCCTCCTCCTTTCCTTTTCTCTCAGTATATTTTCTTAGATCAGATTAATCCACTTGCTTGGATCCATTTAACCCACTTGATCAGATTTTTTTTTTGTCATTACATCCAAGTCAACTTATACCCAGCCCCTTTATGTATACCCCTTTAACATGGTATAATAACAATACAGTTCTCAAGAGTTACAAGTGTCATCTTCCCTTGTAGGGATGTAAACAGTTTGCCCTTATTAATAGCATGTTGTTTCCTTCTGTCCCATTTACATTTTTATGTCTCTCTTGAGTCTTGTATTTGAAGATCAAAGTTGCTGTTGAGTCTTTTTATCAGGAAGGTTTGGAAGTCCCCTATTTCGTTGAATATCCATCTCCTCCCCTGAAAGATCATGCTCATTTTTGCTGGGTAGTTCATCGTTTGGTTGTAATCCAAGTTCCTTTGCCTTACAGAATATCATATTCCATACCCTATGGTCTTTTAATGTAGAAGCTGCAAGGTCCTGTGTCATCCTGACTGTGGTTCCATGATATTTAAATTATTTCTTTCTGTCTTCTTGCAAGTAATTTTGGAATTTGGCTACTATATTCCTTAGCATTTTCAATTTGAGATCTCTTTCAGGAGGTGATCAGTGGATTCTTTCTATGGCTATTTTACCCTCTGGTTCTAGGACCTCAGGGCAGTTTCCCTTTATGATTTCCTGAAAGATTCTATCCAGGCTCTTTTTTTTCATTGTGATTTTCAGGTAGACTAATAATTTTTAAAATGTCTCTCCTGGATTGATTTTCCAGGTCAGTTGTTTTATTAACCAGGTATTTTACATTTTCATCTATTTTTTCATTCTTTTGTTTCTGTTTGACTGATTCTTGCTCTCTCATAGAGTCATTGGCTTCCATTTGCCTAATTCTAATTTTTAACAAATTGTTTTCTTCTATTAGATTTTATATCTCCATTCCCATTTGACCAATTTCATTTTTTTAGGGACTTGTTTTCTTCAGTGTACTTTTTTTTTCCAGTTGGCCAATTTCATTTTTTAAGTGTTTGTTTTCTACAGTTAATTTTTGTCCTTCCTTTTCCAAGCTATTGACTCTCTCTTGCATACCTCTTATTTCTTTTCCCATTTTTCCTTCTACCTTTCTCATTTGACTTTTAAAATCCTCCTTGACCTCTTCTAAGAAGGCTTTTTGGGCTTCAGACCAGTTCGTATTCCCTTTTGAGGTTCCAGATGTGGGTTTGTTGACAATGTTGTCCTCTTCAGAATTTCTGCCTTGATCTTCACTCTTCCCATAATGAGAATCTGTCATACATTTCTTTTTGCTCATGGCTTCCTGGCCTTTAAAGAGATTGAGCTCTCCTGTTGGGGAGCAGAGGGCACTGACCCAAGCTTCTTGTGTTGGGAGTCTAGGTCTTGATCACTGGCTTTGTGTGCTGGGGCCTCCGATGTTGGCAATTGGAGGCTGTAGGGTTCTGGCAGCTTACCTGGTGTTGGGCTGGAATCAGCAAGGCTGGAACTCTAGAGCAATTCTAGGTTGCCTGTTTTTCCTTTCCTTTAGCTTTCTTCAGCTCCTTTCAGATGGATGTTGCAGGGTGTTTATCTGCCTGGGGCCCTTTATACTGCTGCTTCCCTTATTTTTGCTGAGGCACTGGGAGACTTGGTTGCTGTAGAATGCAGAGGTACCTGGTGATTTTCCATGCTGGTTTCCATCAGTTCCCCCACCCTCACTGATGCACCTGGGGGTCCTGGTGTTGGTGTTTGCCTGCTCCACCACCTGGGTTTCAGGATCTCCTCCTGGTATGCTGAAGTGGGGCTTTCTGCTTGCTTGCTGGGAAGAGTCCTGTTCTGTACTACTCCCCTTCCCCCAGAGCAAGAGGGGCCTTTCCCATTAATCATTCAAGCTACCTGGGCCACTGGACTGCTGCACCCCATGTATCTTCTGGGTCAGCTGTTCCAGGGTTTTTCCTGGGGGCGATGTTTTCTGGGCTTTCAGAGGTTAATAAGGGAGGGTAAGGTTTGGATTTTTTTTTTTAGTACGGGTTCTAAAGTAGAAGTTTTTGTTACTTCAAGCTCAGTGTGAGTTGTTTCAGGTAATCATAATTAATTATAACCAAGAACCATATAACAAATAACAAAGCTTTGAATTAAGACAAAATAGCAGTAGATAATAGTTATAATAGTAAATAAGAGATATAAAGAGAATCTGCCCCAGATTCCTATGTCATCAGTGGGAGAGTGGACAATGCTCAGACAGCTCATACTAGATTTGCATCTTGGCTGGAGCATCTCTTACAGCTCTTTAACCTAGCTATGAGTTGTTTCACTGATGTCTCAACTCAGATGGTGCCACTCCTCTCTGTCTCCAAAGCTGACATAGGTTTCTTCTTTGATAAGTTGTTCCTGATATATGTTAGAACTCTTTTCTACTCTGGGGCTTGTTTTTCTTCAAAGGGAATTTAAATAATCTTTTTTTGAGAGAGCATAGCCAATATGCCTAGGGCTAATCAACGGTTTTCAGCTATTCTGGTGTCAGCTGACTAACCATCTGCACAGAGAAGAGTCCATCAAGTTAAGATTTATTGATTTTTGAGGTTGGGTGGGGGAGGTTCAAACTTCCTTCCCTCTCAGAGAGAATTCCCCAAGGTTCCTTTTATACTTTAGGGTCATAGGATCTTAGCTTTAGAGCTGGAATGTACCTTGGTCTAATCCAATCTTTTCATTTTACAGTTTAGGTGAATGATGTCCAGAAAAGCAAGGAAAGGCAACAACCATTTATTAAGTGCTTAGTGTGTTCCAGGCACTGTGCTAAGCACTAGGGATGCAAATACAAGCAAATGTTAAGACAGTCCTTGCCCTAAAATAGCCCAGATTCTAATAGGGGAAGACAACACACAAAAAGAAACTGAGAAGGGGACAGAGGAAGGGAAGTATCGCATAGGAACACGGTGTAGCAATATCAGATGTTAGCTAAGGCATGGCGGCAAAGTCCGGAAAGTTAAAAGCAGAGCCAGGAAGGGAAGGAAGGCTAGCCAGCCTGAGTTGCTCCCCAAAATGGATATTCCAGGAGAAACTCACCAATGGGAGAAGGAGGTTGGTATAGAGGTGGGCTTTTCCTGGGTAAGGAGATAGGGGAGTGGATGGATATTCCGGGATGAGAAGGCCCCAGACCCTGAGGGAAATTTCAGAGCCAGACTGCCCCCAAGGCCTGGTAAGTCTGGAAAGCCAGGAGCAGAATGTCACTTCCACTGAGAGTTCAAGTTTATTCCTCGAGTTCACATAGGTAGTATGTGGCAGAACTGGGATTCCGACCCAGATTCTCTGGGTCCAAATACAACACACTTTCCATTGCATCACTGGCTCTGTAGCTTGGGTTAGTAGATTTCTTTCAACTCTCATCATGCTTTTGGTAATTAGGGCCATGCAAATTGCCTTGAAGCTTTGACAAACTAAGAAAAAGCTTGAAGAGAGTGGGATGGAGGTTCATTCCTATAGCTATGCCTAGGGTCGTTGTCCTCCTTATACTAAGATTTAGCGATTTTAAAATACTACCACTTCCTTCAGTACAAAGCTGCTCAGAGTAAATAATTCCCTGGTATGTAACCTTTTCTTTTTCTTCTTTTTGATGTTGGGTACCCTCATCAGACCCTTTAACTTTAAGTCAGTTTGTGGAATAAATTAAGGATCTTAATGTATAATGGTTCTTTTTTTTTTTTAGGCAATTGTGGTTAAGTGACTTGCCCAGGGTCATACAACTAGTCAGTGTCAAGTGTTTGGTCTGAGGTCAAATTTTAACTCAGGTACTCCTGACTTCAAGGTCCGTGCTCTATCCATTGTGACACCTAGCTGCCCCATCTTAATGTATAATGAAGGAAATATTTTCACAGTCTCTGACAAAAAGAAAGAAAAATATCTTTTTCTCTGTGTGAAACATCAGCCAAATGAATATATGGCTCATCAAGTTCAAAACCTCAATCTTGATGCTGCTTAAAGAGCACTTAGCTTTGTTTAAGAAATCAAAAACATGATAACATCTACTGATACCCTTTGTGGTAGTTAAAAGTTCTGAAGGGACAACTTATTCTTGAGCAATTATTAAAAAAATTTCTTTTTTAAAAATAAATTTTTATTGGTACTTTTGTTTTTATACCACCTATATTTCTTACTGTATCTCTCCCTCTAACCCCTCCCAGTTAACCTTCTTTTATAATAAAGAATTTTAAAAGAGGAAGAAAAATAAGCAAGCTCTATAAAACTAACACATCAAGAAAGCAGGACATTGTAAACTGTGTTTTACATCCATGGTCACCAACTTCTTCAAAGAATCAGGGCAGGGAATCCACTCATATTTCTTCTTTGGGGGAAGGCTTGATCATTTTTATTTTGTACCACTGTTTTGATTATTTTTTTTTTGTTCCTCCTATTTGAATTACAATAATCATTTTTCATTACTTTTCATTTGATAAAATTATTTTCATGCTTCTTTGTATTCGTTATATCCAACATTCCTGATAGCAAAGTAATATTCCAATAAGATCATGAACTGAAGTTTGTTTAGTTATTACTCAGTTGATGTGCATCTACTTTGTTTACCATTCCTTCGCTACCACAAAAAGTACTTCTATGAATCATATGCTGTAGAAGAGACTTTTATTTCCTCTTAGATAAACTTGGAGTATATGCCTAACCATCCAAAACCAAAAAGGTCTGGGTTAGAGAGGTAGCTGGTTTCTCACTGCTGAAGCTTTTGAGCGGAGACTTGATGACCTCTCTAGCTATGCCTAGGTCACCTTCCCTGTCAGTGCTGCTGTCAGGAATCTTTTGGTATATGGGTTGGATTAGATGGTTGCTGAGGGTCCCTTCCAGTTCTCAAATTCTGGGATATTGAGATTTCTACATCAAGTGGTGTGGATGTTTTAGTCGCTTTCTTTTCTTAAAAAAAATCATAATTCTAAATTGTTTTCCAGAATGGTTAGACCAATTCATAGCTACACCAACAGTGTATTAGCTTACCTATCTTTTTAAAGTTTCTCTAACCTTTACTTTTCTCATATATTGTCATCTCTGGTAATTTCTGAGTGTGAGAGGGAAACAAAGTTGCTTTAATTTGTATTTTTCTTGTTATTAGTGACTCAGAACAATATTTCACATAGCTGTCAATAGTTTATAATTCTTCTTTCAAGAACTATTTGTTAGTATCACTTGACCACTAATACATTGGAGAATGGCTCTTGGCCTTATATGTTTTAGTTCCCTTTAGATCTCAAGTCCTTATTGGAGATATCTGATGTAATGGTTTCCTCCAATTAATAGCTTCCTTTAAAAATACATAATGATAGCATTATTATATTATAGGCAGCTGGTGGCAAAAGTGATAAAGTGCTGAACTTGGAGTTAAGAAGATCTGAGTTCAAATTTGGTCTCAGACACTTACTAGCTGTGTGACTCTAAGCAAGTCATTTAGCCTCTGTTTACTTCAGTTTCCTCAACTGTAAAATGGGGATAATAATAGCACTGACCCCACAATGTTCTTTTTATAAAAGTGCTTATTTAAAAATTTTTATTTAAAAATATGATTTAAAAAATCATATCACTATGTGGGAGCTACATAAATTCTTATTCCTTTCCCCTCCTCCATTTTATTTGAGTTGTGTTGATTTTGTTTGTGTAAAAAAAAACCACAACTTTTTTCAAGTTCATGCAATTGAAATCATCCATTTTGTTTTTTTGTGATATCTTCCATTGCTTAGCAATGTTCTCCCTAGCCATATTTGTTAAAGGTGCTTGACCTGGTTCTCCTTTAAATGTTTTGTATTGTGACTCCACAGGGCACCATGATTTTCCTGCCCTCCTTTGGACAGCATCCATTGCTAATAGCATTAGACTTGTAACTGGATTCTGTGTCTTCCAGACTCTCCTCTTCAATTCATCCTTCATAATGCTGTCAATCTTAATGAATAGATCTTATTGGGCTTTTTCTCCTGCTCCCCGCTCCGCATCCCACCTTCCCAAGCGTTGCTCTGGCTACATTGTGCTCCTGGACCCTGCATCAGTAGCACTGCCCCCGCTGCCTCCCTCCTTCTGCCTCCTTGATCGTCTACCGGGGCTTGATTAGCCATAATGAGATGTTCTCCCACATTTACAAGATTGGGGAGATCCCGTACTAGCTGCACCAGAAGGGGAAAATGGTCAGGAGGACAGAGGGTACCACTGAGGACAGGGTACCATTAATGATTCTCTCATTGGTGGAAATGCCTCTGCTGAAGGTCCTGAGGGAGAAGGAACAGATGGCACTGTGATCACTGGAGTTGATATGGTAATAAACCATCATCTGCAAGTACCTAGTTTCACAAAAGAATCCTACAAAAAGTACATCAAGGACTACCTGAAATCAATCAAAGTCATACTTGAAGAACACAACCCAGATAGTGCAAAACTTTTTATGACAGGAGCTGCAGAACAAATCAAACACATCCTTGCTAATTTAAAAAAGGATCAGTTCTTTACAGGTGAAAACATGAAACCAGATGGCATGGTGGCTGTCTTGGACTTCCATGAGAATGGTGTGACTCCATATATGATTTTATTTAAGGATGGTTTAGAAACGGAGAAATGTTAACAAATTCAGCTGATTACTTTGAATCACCTGTCATCATAACTGGCTGCTGCTTTTTGTCATCTATACAACATCAGGACTTGGACTGATGTCATCTTGAGCTTTATTCATTTATTTTTTACCTTGATTTATGTGGAGTGGAGGCATTGTTTTTAAAAATGTGGCATGTAGGTTGTCTAAAATAAAACACATTTAAACCCATTTGAGAGAATTCCTCTTGGTCTAATGTTTTTTTAAGCTCAAATTACAGTAACTTGCTACAGTTGTACCTCAAGAATCATTGTAAAGATCATTGACTGGTCTTAGGTTACTTTTCAGCATGAGACACTTCAGATAGACTTTTCTACAGTTGACTCTTGTGAAAAAGGGAAGAGATGTCCACAAGTGTGCCAAAAATATGAAGTGGACCTTTCTACATTCCATTTCATCTACAAGCTGAAGTAGAGTTAACTCTGGAAGAGATTACATCCAAACTGAATAAAATGAAACCATGTAAAACTCTTGGAAACTGAGTATTGACTGAGCTTATTTATCAACCAACTCTAAATTCAGATTGCTTACCTTGAGTCAACAGGGAGATCAAACACCCCTGTGATTTAGGGGATTGTAGAAAAGGATGCCTAGTTGGCAGATCATGTAAAGGGCAACTGGTGAGGGATTATAAATATTGAATATAAATATTTTATATTTAATTTCTTTTAAAAATTAACCCTTAATGAGGGGTGGCTTAATTTATAGAAAATAGGTTGAATGAAAAGGGAGATCTGAGCAAGATCACTAGCAATGAGCAGATTGTTAAAACACACTTTTTAATAATAAAAAGTGGAAGAGGGGTATTTTTTTAAATGCATGGTGACCCTTAAGGCATAGAGGAGAGAGACCTAAGGTAGAGAAAGCAATTAGGGAATCTCAAGATAAAAAAAATTATTTTTTCTTTTAGGTAAATGGAGGAGAAGGAGGATTGACAAGCCGTAATTAGTTATCACAGGAATGTAGTTAACCTGTCTGGGGAAACAACAAACTAGAAGGGCATGGAACAGCTTCCCTATTCTGTGGATGTCATGGATGAGTTGATATTTATGCATCTCTTTGACATATCTGGAGCAGTTATATCTGCTTTTAAGGTTTCCACTCAGATGCAAGAAAAATTTTTCTCGAGCTTTCTCTCTGCATGATTGTGGCTGTCTAGATCAAATAGCGGAATATAAGAGGTGACTGAACAAGCCATTGCCTCATCTTTACATGAATATTTTAGAGTCCTTTTATAACTTTTATTTTTGGTAGGCATTTTACAAGAAAAGTATATTCTAGCCCTGCCAATTTGCTAGACCTTTTGACTTGGGCAAGTTCTATAAATTTAGTTTGGGATAGATGATTTAGAACCTTGAACATGTAGGTCAGATTCTGGAATACGAATTGTTACATGATGTGACCATTTTGATAAAGATTAGGGCAGAAGTATGACTTTGAGATCTAAATTGATTTCAAAGTCTAGCAGTATTAGCTTGCAGTTACAAGTTTCTGATGTAATGATAGCAATTAATGGTACCTGGAAGTCCCAGGCTGATTTTTTTTAAAAAGAGTGTTTAATCCTATAAATAAAACTGAGTTTTATGTCTGAAAAAAAAAAGAATAGATCTTATTTCATAACTTTCTTGATCAAAAGTCTACTACTATTTTTGCCTGCTGGAAAATCCTGGCATTCAAGATCCCTCACAATATGACTTTGACCTACATTTACAGGCTTATTTTATACCTATAAACTTTCTTAATTATATGGCTTACTCAAACTGGGCTATATATTGGCTATTCCCCAATCTTGGTCTCTTGGCCTCTTTTACCTTCATATATTTGTGGCATCATCCATTGTGCTAGGAATAGACCCTCCCTAAATGCTTATTTTTAATTTTTTTCCCTCTGAATTTTCTTTTTTTTTTAAGGAACTTAAACCAAAATGTAGTGAATCTTTTTGAACCTGACCTGTGATTTCATAAATGTTGGGATCTCTTGGTGAAGAACTTCCTCTGCCAACGGAGATCAGCACCTTCATTGCAATTTATGGATTTAGATTGTTGCCTGGGGTCCTGAAAAGTACAATGACTTTCCCAGAGTCCCAGAGGTATTATAAATATGAAAGGCAAAATTCAAGTCTTAAATCCTGGTCTTCCTGACTTTTAGGCCACCTTAAGACAAGTCAAGAAATTATTAGCTGCCATATTTTAGGTAGAAAGAGTACTCCAGCAGATGTCTGTATGATTCAAGTTCTCCATCCCAATTTTATCATGACTTGTGTCAGGCTTATATGATTCTCAAACTCCTCATCAATTTCTCCTTTCTCTTCAGGTTATCTATACAATATTATGATGACAATTATGCCTCTGCCTCAATTGATCTTTACCCAAATGCTCTCTACCATGTCTACTCCCTCTGATTCTTGACATTCTCTACATGATTACATCCAGCTATGTTACTATGGGCAAGTCATTTAAGTTTTTTGAGCCTCTGTTTCTTCATGAAAATGAAGAAAATGTGCTGTAAGAAATGATGAGCAGGCAGACTTTAGAAAAACTTGGAAGGACTTATATGAACTGATGCTGAGTGAAGTAAGCAGAACCAGGAGAACGTTGTACACAGTAACAGCCAGATCATGTGATGACTGACTTTGATAGACTTAGCTCTTCTCAGCAATACAAGGATCTAAGATAACTCTAAAAGACTCATGATGGAAAACGCTATCCACATGCAGAGAAAGAACTATGGAGTCTGAATATAGATCAAAGCATAGTATTTGCTCTCTCTTTTTTTTTGTTTCTTTTTTGTGGTTCCTCCTATTGGTTCTAATTCTTCTTTACAACATGACTAATGTGAAAATACGTTTAAGAAGAATGTATATGTACAGCTTATATCAGATTGCATGCTGTCTTAGGGAGGGGAGAGAGGAAGGAGGTGGAGAAAATTTAAAACTCAAAAGCTTATGGAAGTGAATGTTGAAAACTAAAAATAAATAAATTAATTTTTTAAAAAAGAAAATGAAGAGAATAAGGATAATAATATCTTTAATGACCACCTCATGGGGTTGATGTGAAGATCAAATGAGATAAAGAAGTATTTAAGGGTCAAGTATAATTATGATGATGTTATGCTTCCCATTCTGCTTCTTTTGAATAAAATAAACTATTTCATAATAACCAGTCGTAAGTTTCATCTTACCAAGTCTTAGCCATACCAATGTGGTAAAATTCGCCTTTTTGTATTAGTACATCTAGTTTACCTTGCTTGTTATCCAGACTTTTATCATTCATGATTAGACATTAGAAGCTATGGGTTTTATTGACTCTTTTCTTGAACTTTGTCTACTATGAATTTCTGGGTGTCTCTACTTCTATTCTTAGATCATAGCTACTCCATAGAGCATCTGGGCTGGTCAAAAGTTATAGGCAATTTTATCCTCTCCATTTACATTTCAGTTTTAAAATTTTTTGATTAGATTTGCAAAGCTGAAGGCAATACTTTTTTGCCAAACTCTATTAGATGTATCCTATTCCTGGAAAGGAGCCTGTCATTCCTTAATTTTTAGGTTGTGATGCAAAAATTTAAATATTGTTCTCAGATGCCATCTTCTTAACCAGCTGTTTACTTTCCAAATCTACCTTTCTTTTTGGAATCTTTTGCCTTCAATGGGTAGTAGTGATGAAAATGCCACCTATGCCCCTAAGTTCTTTAATTTCTTGCCCAATATTTTGGAATCTTTATCAATGCTTTCTAGATTCTTTCTGGCAGTATCATTTGTGTCTTCATGGATCACTAGCAGAGGGTGGAGTCATCCAGTTTGACAGGTCTTGGGAAATTCTCTTCCATGTCTTGGATACAGGCCCTGGGTAGACAACAGACTTTATTATTATGAGGTTGGCAAATAGTTGCCTCAGTCCTCCATTACTCTTCCTTTCCTACTCAGACCCTCAAAGGATATGTTGTTGTTGTTCAATTGTTCAGTCACGTCTGACTCTTTGTGACCCCATGGACCATAACACACCAATATGGTCTTAGGGTCTATGGGGTTTTCTTGGCAAAGATATTGGAATTCTTTGCTATATCCTTCTCCAGTAAATTAAGACAAACAGAGGTTAAGTAACTTGCCTAGGGTCACATAGCTAGTAAGTGTCTGAGGCGGAACTTGAACTCTGGTCTTTCTGATTCCAGGCCCAGCACTCTATCCACTGAGCCACCTAGCTGCTTTCTCAAAGGGTCCAACTCTCTCCTTTTTGAAAACAGCCTCATATCTGTTCTTTAGCTCCAAGTATTATATTCATTTCCCCACTTTGTCTTCTGTGTCACATTCTTATACCCTCCAATCTCCCAACATAAGTCTGAATTCCCTCTGGATTCTATCTCTTCAGATCCCCTCTCTTTGCTTTTAATCTCTTATAGATTTATTTGTTTTTTTGTTTGTTTTTTGACACTAGTTCTCTCAGGCTGGAAATAGAGTTGACCTTCATGGCCTGATCCTGCTGCTGATTGGCATGGCAGCTTTGACCTGTTCCATTTTATGACCTGTACTAGCATCCTTAGGAAGCTGCTTTCCCAATCCCTCCCCAAACTCTTACCATATTGATGTCAGACTTAGCACAGGTCCCCAGCTTTAGCTATACTATAGCTCAAGATATACCTTAACTCAAGTGATCCACCAGCCTCAAAATCCCCTAGGAGAAAGGACTACAGACTGGGACTATAGACCTGTACCAAGTTCAGCTCTTTGTTTTACAGTAAGTCTCTATTTTTTTTTAAAGTCACTTCAGCCTCCCAGATAATCTAATGCCTTGAGTTCCCTTACCTTCTTTTGTAGGAGAGAGACCAGCCTGCTCTGTTCTCCAGGTATAAGAAACTATTCCTTGTAGGAAAGGACTGGTTTGCTTTTCATTTTTGAATTCCAGTCACCTAGCTTGGTATCTTGTGCACAGACTTAATAAATGTTTGCCTTTTGCATGGAGGTTTAATTGAATTGAATTGCAATGCTTCTATTCCCTTCTCCCCTTCCCCCCCCTTTTTTTAGGTCTTGTGACTCAGCTTTAGCTCCAGGGAAAGAGAAATGCTTCAGTAAGGATGTATCAGACAAAGAGCTAAAGTCAAGCCTGAGGGCAAGATTTTTTAATTGATATATTCCCTTGGTGAAGGTTGCTTATCCTGATGCCTAAACCAGCACTTCCATAGCTCTGGACAGACATGACATTAGCACTTTTTAGATGCCACTATTCTTAGGGAAATAAAAGCTCTCTAGGCATCCAGCCAAACCAACTAGACCCCTGAGAGAATCACAGAAACACTCACATGAGATAGTGGGAGGAAACTAGAACTCACCAATCCTACCGTGACCGTATTAGTTACATGATCAGATCTACACTTTGCTACTGCAAAATAACAGTGGCGAATCTCCAAAATAACCATGAGACCCTTGGTACTGGGTTCCTATTATAAACCCTTCAAACAATCAC